CATACAGAGAAAGTTACTGAGTTAGTGAATGGTTTATTTGCACAATTCGTGCAAATGTAAATTCTCCATTCTTCATCTCATAATTTAAGCAGATGTGAAACATTCTCTTAAAAGTTATATGGGTCTTTTTAAATTATTGCTTTAGTAGTGATGTGCTTTTGCTATTTTTACAGCATTAAAATCGTTCTCTGTTTGTCATGCTCCCATTTGGTTGCAGTGGAGATGACGGTCAGAGAAATACAATCTTCCAGGAAGCATTAATTGAAATGAGGGTTTTATATTCAGCATGCAGTAACTGACAGATAGATGTAGGTAAAAGAGAAAATTTATTACGTGGCGTTTCTCTAGTTTTTTAATCTTTTTCTCCCTCCAAAAAAGCAAGTGCCAGATGAAGTCAGAAATACATTTAATATACTGCACAACATTGTAGAGAATGTTTTCTATGCAATCACTTTCATTCTCCCACAGATTTCAAACACATTTTAGGGAAAATTTTTGGAAACTGAAACCTTAAGAAATTATTCAAGTGCTAGAAACATCAGTAAGACATTTTCACAATATTTCATAGAATCATAGAATCGTTAGGGCTGGAAGGGACCTTCAAAGGTCATCTAGTCCAACCCCCCTGCAAGGAACAGGGATATCTCCAACTAGATCAGGTTGCTCAGGGCCTCATCCAACCGGGCCTTGAACGTCTCCAGGGATGGAGCATCCACCACCTCTCTGGGCAACCTGTTCCAGTGTTCTACAACTCTCATGGTAAAAAAGTTTTTCCTAATATCCAGTCTGAATCTACCTCCCTCTATTTTAAAACCATTACCCCTTGTCCTATCACAACTGGCCCTCCTGAACAGCCTCTCCCCATCTTTCTTGTAGGCCCCCTTGAGGTACTGGAAGACCGCTATAAGGTCACCCTGGAGTCTCCTCTTCTCCAGGCTGAACAGCCCCAACTCTTTCAGCCTGTCCTCATAGGAAAGGTGCTCCAGCCCTCTTATCATCTTCGTGGCCCTCCTTTGGACCCTCTCCAACTGGTCCATGTCCTTCTTATGTTGGGGATTCCAGATCTCCTAAAATCTGCATAATCATTCTAAAGCACTTGGGTCAAGCAAAGAAGTATTGCACAGCTTTGACATAGAAAATAATAATAAAATAAAATACGCATGCTTGTGTGGACAAATGAACATAAAACCAGCCATTCTGTGGCCTGTTGTCATCCAGAATATAAGACAGAAGACTGCTGCTTTTGCTAGTAACATATGAAGTCTGAAGTCATATTGGACTGGTATTTGCATTAATTTTTTTAGTCCACACTGGTGGTTCTTCACTTCCTTAGATGTTTTACATCTTCATATAGAAATGATATTTTGGATTACTTTCATTTGCAGTGCTCTTTCATTATTGCCTCAGGACCCAATACTCAAAGGACAAGGGAGAAATAAAAAAAATACATATATTCAGGAACAATAATGAAGTCAGTATGTGTAATGTGAAAAAAACGATAAGAAAATCTAGCAGCAGGAAAGCCGTCTCCTGGTTCAACGTACTGGTGAGGGCAGATGCCCACTTGCAGCTCTTGCTGTGCTAATTGACGTTGTTACCATCTGCACTGCCCATCAGCGTGCTCCCGCTGGGGAGCGGCGTCCCGCGGAGCTGCCGGAGTGACCTCTAATCCTCTCCAAGTGACTGAGTGAGGCTTGGCTCAAAACACCTTTAGGACCAGTTAAAATAATGTTTCTGAATAAAGCAGAGTATTTGAAAAAGATAAGGAGCGCCTCGCCTCTATGATGCCTTCTCCTGGAAATAGTATGGAGAAATTCTGGAAGCTTTTGCAAAATAAACAACTTCCATTGCCTCAGATGCTCAGTCATGTTTTGCCTTAACTGTATCTCTTTGTACGACTTTGGCTTCTGTGTGTGTTTTATTTTCTGACCTTATCTCTACAGCAATGCTTAGGACTATTATAATGCAATTTCATCAGTTGATCTGTAGGTTTCTTCATTCTCTCCTTTCCCTTCTCTCTCTCCCCCATATATGAGTGTGTGAGTTTGTGGCATTCAGAGGGAGGAAAAAGAAACACAAAATTTTGCTGAATGGTTTTTTTTTTGAGTGATGGCCAGACGTCAGGAGAAGGGAAATCTTTTGGTTTGAACTGAACATTGAATTTTTGTTTTCCACTATTTCTAAATTAAACAAGAAAATAAATTTCATAATTAAAGATGAATACGCTCTTTTTTCCAGATAAGACTGACTTGGTGAGTAGTTTCACCAATACATAGACTTCAGAAAAGAATAAATTCGCACACATAATTTACCCTTATCTCTATTTATGGGTCTTGAGGAAGATAATATTTATTATGCAAAATGAAAGAGTACCATTAAATAAAAGACATGTCTAAATTCCAACATATCTTCTAGACTATGGTCTAAGTAAACTAACAGTGACCATAGATGCTTTAAACTCAATCTAGTCCTCAACCTTATGGTGTCTACATTTCTGTGTCTAAATTTCTACAATTTTTGTTAGGAGAAAAAGCAGCTCTCGGAGTTCGAGTATCTCTCTTTTGCCTTGGAGGCTTTTCAATATGTACCTGTATTTGTATGTGCATTGTGATCAGTAACACAGGACAGGATATGTGTCCACTGGACAGTAAAGTGTATAGCGTAATTGCGAAGTTGTGAATTCATCATGTTTAGGTAAATACAATTAGGATTGTTGAAAAATACTGCAACTTTTTCCTATACTATTTCAGCCATACCTTTCATGCTGGTGAGTACTCAGGCATCTACCTACCTGCTGGAGCTGGCCCACCACCATGCACATATGTTCTGTGTTGGAAAATAGACGTCTTTCAGACGTCTCTTCCTTCCACTTTCCAATATGCTTTTGAATTTTTTCTGTTTCAGAGTTTTGAATTGCTGCTTGTCAATGCATTACACAAACATCTCTGCCAAAAATGCTTACCACCATCAATGCTGTCCGTGTACTTTCCCCTTTATGTATGAAGTCACCGCTGTATTTGGAGCAGGTTGGGGCCCTAGTGCGAGTTGTGCGTGACATTTTTAGTGAAGGGCTTTACAGCTCTCTGAGAGCTAATCAAACTGCATTTGTTTGGCCTCTGCTCAAGGCTTGTCCCTGTGTCAGATCCCATCGGTGGTGAGTGACTCCCCTGATCCCTCACATTGTGCTGTCCGAACTGCTGCGATCTGCATCGATTCACGGAAGGGTGACTGCCCTCATGGCTCATCGCCTGCAATTCATATGTCCTAGGGGGAAGCTTTTACCCCCCATTGGAAGCTGACTGGGAGCTCATGGAGGAGCAGAGAGGTTTGACATGTTATTGTTTGAATCACGGAGAATAACGCAGGCACACTTCGTAATAGCTGGCACCCGTCTGTTAACGGTGTCACTAAACACTAGGTACTGAAAATTAAATGAAGTGAGGTCATAATAACTACAGCGTGCCTTTATCTGGGAGAGAAGGATAGAGAAGGATAGTATTTCTTAGAAGCTGAAGGTGAAATGAAATTTTGATGAGTTAACCAAGAGCCAGAAGCTACACCACAGCTGTAATTATATACCTTAAAGTGAAAGGTGAGTCCCTATCTTTGCCTGTGCTGTGGCAGGGTTGATATGTTCACAGAAGCATCACTTTCATCTTGAGGGGATGGTGCTTGGGCCCAGTGCTCGCATCCCAGAGGTGACTGAGTGGCATGTGCGCTGCTGGGAACAGTTGCACCAGTCCTGAATGAACGAGACGTAAAGCTGAGTGCCGTTAGCGCCTTAGGATCTGGGTTGGTTTTGCTCGACATCTCAAAGGTGCTGTTAACAGGGCTTTCCGTTCCCGAAGTACCCCAGAGATGTTGATGTGCTCCAAGGGAGGCAAGAACTTACTCCAGACAGTGGGAGGAGAAGGGTCTGTGCAGCGTGGGATCCATCCTTTCGTCCTCTCTCTTTGCAGGCACCTTTGTGTTCCTCCGAGGTCAACTCTCAACTGAAGTATTTTCATTGTGTTGTGTTAGGGTGAATAGCCACAAATAACTTCACGTTGCTGATTACATTAAAAACCTACAGTTTTGGAAACGTTCCAACTGATATCAAATGTTACTTGGCAGATACATGTAATCACTTATTTTATTGCAGTTCTTCATGCTTCTGTGGGTGGTATATGGGCACAGTTATTCTACCCTAACCCTCACAAGGCTTTCCCCCCCTCCCCAAAAAGGCCTTAGATGTGCATACATTAGTATAATTAAAAAATAGGAAAAACACCGCCGAAGTGGGTTGTTCAGTGCAACCACATGTTCTTGCACAGTATCTTTAAATTGAAATGTTCTTAAGTCAAGGTACCATGCAAAATATGGGCATTTTTATGTCGATTTAAGGAACCATGTAGTTTCCTCTTGATTTCTTTGCATATATAACCTGTCACTTTGGCTGTCGTTTTTCACTTAACAAAACTGGGATGCGGTTCGTTCCAGCGGTGGTCTGGCAGTGAGTATGCAGCGAGAGGGGTTGCTTTGGAGCAGAACAAGACGTGCTTTATTGATTTATACTTTGAGGTCATTGACCTCAGGTCAGGACAAAGACATGTGGACTGCTTCTGCTGGTATTACCAAAAGCTGCCAACAGCTATTCCACCCTCATCCCAAATATAATTTATTTATGTTTTATGATCTATTTTCAGAAGTCATAGCTTACATGTATGTATGTATTTATACATGTAGATCTTATTAAAGTAATCTACTAATTCAAAGTCTTTTTTATGATTAAAACTGGCAGGAATTAGTATTAAATAGAGTCTATAAGGATTCTGTTCAGAACATAAGGACAAATCATCTTGCAAAAATAAAATTTAAATGGAATATCTACCTATTTGTTAAGATGCTATAATTGGTACAACTTGTTGTTCTTGAAGAAATAATTTATAGAAATGCAGATATAAGTGGACATTTTCTATTTCACTGCAATTTTAATTTATTTTGTTTTATTTTATTTACAGGATTAGCTGGCACTGCTGCAGACCTAGAAAAAAGAAAGCTTATTTTTGGAAAAAATTTTATACCTCCAAAGAAGCCAAAAACATTCTTACAGCTAGTCTGGGAAGCGTTGCAGGATGTGACTCTTATAATCTTGGAAATTGCAGCCATCATATCTTTGGGGCTTTCGTTTTATCAGCCACCTGGAGAAGGGAATGAAGGTAAAAACTTTTTATAGAAGTCGTTTGTATAAGTTTACGTAAAACCAGTCCTGTATCTCATATTAATTCCATCCCCTCCCTCCAGAAGGTCAGTAACAGGAAATTTCCATGTGGTTTGTTCCTATTATCATTACATCTGGTACATATTTTTTTGTATGCTTGACATTTCTTTATGCAAATAGCTGAACCTTGTGACGTGTGCTAAATGAGTTATAGAAAAATCACGATATTCTTATAAAACTGGAGTATTTTCTGCTTATGTTCTCACGTTTGGTGTTTGTGTCTTCATCTTGAATGGTTGTTCACCGCGTTATAGAGGAGAAATATGTAATTGCTTATGTAACTGCTGTCTTATCTACACGAACATGGACAAGTGTTCAGCTAGTTTATCCCAGTTGAAGACTTGAACTTAGCGAAATTCACTCATTTTTAGTGTAGAGCTAAGGCTCGTGAGCCTGGCTCAGAAGGGAATGCTGGAGGCTGTCATGTTACTGATAAGGCATACACTGCAGAATCCTTCTGTGGTATCTGTAGAAAGTGTTAACACCCTGCCACCCCCAGCCCTCCTTTTTCCCCCCTTTGGAAAGTACTCTTGAATTCACATGCTTAAAATATTCGTTCCTCTACATAAATGCAAGATTTCCATTTCTGGCAACTGATCCAGATTGTTTTTTCCCCCTTGCTCTCTCATAGACTTATAAAGCTGGATAAAACATGCTGTGTGAAATGACGTGGATAGCTTGGCAAATGGCTGAAGAATGTCTTCTTCTAAATATAGCCTAAAAATGCTTTTTACATTTGCTTCAGTTTCCTTTGGCTACTTTCCCTGAAGACCCTTCCTTCTTCCTTTTCCATTCACAGGCAGAATAAGCATGTACCTATGCATAGCTCTGGGATCATATTTATCATTCTTTAATCCTTTGTATATAATCTGGAGTCTTTTGTTGCCTCCTCACTGAATATTGAATATGTGACTTGATTCATCAGGTGTCTGATTTAGACATGAAAAGATAAAGGAGTCATTTGTTTTTCAGCTGAAGAAAACATTATTTATTGCTATCACCTCATAAAACTGGATATAGTAGAATACCTTGGGGATGTTGTAAACTGTGAACAACGCTTTCCAGAATTAGAATTTAGTTCTGCAAACCTTTTTCTTGTGCATAAATGTGCAGTCTACCCTCTTTTTAATTTATTTCGTGGGAAAGAAATTTTGAGAGTAGGATTGTTACAGGTTTTAGGAAGACAGATGTGTCATCAGGTCAATGTGTTTGTTTGGTTTTTTAATTATTATTCTTATTATTTTGATACTGCATTTAAAATGTTGTGGGTTTGTTTTTTTTTTTCTTTACCATGGGAAGGTGTGACACATCTGAGATTCTGAGATAGTCTGAAAAGCTCAGCAGCGCAGCCTGGGAGAAAGTGTTTATGTTTTCCCACAGCAGAGTATTTTATTCAATGGTCAATGTTCTCCCTATGTTTTTAGAATTGTTTCCTGGAAGGTTTTGCCATGTTTTACACAGGGAGAATAAATCAAGTTAGTGAATATTTTTTATTTGGAATTTTTGAAGACAGTGTGAAGATCCTTTACATTTTTTTGAAGTCTTTCTTTCAGCAGTTGTATAAATGTGGGAGGTTCTGTTTTGGTTTAAAATCAGTATATTCTAAGCTGCTGCCAAGGGTACCTATAGCTTATTGATAGATGTCCTTTTTAAAGAGTCCTAAACATTGAAAGACTGACATATTAAGCTTGATTCTGCCTTTGGTGAAGTGAGTTTGAGTCATACTTAAATTGATTTGATGGTTTTGCATAACCTTCAGAAACCAATTATAAAACAGAGTTATATGTAGGCTAATATTGGGTAAAACTCAAATGAACTTTTTGTGAAGAAACCAAATATGCTGGTTTGCCTACACTTAAGCTGATTTATTGAACAATTTCAACTGTTTCTTGAATTGAACATGAATCTGGATTCAGACCAAACATGGGCGTTTCTGGGGAGATTATAGATCTTTGAAAGGGCAGCATCTCGTGTGCTTTCTGCCTTGTGAGATGTCTGCCTGCCTGTCTGAATCTCATATTCGTTACACAATTTGTTAGCTTGACCCATCTGTGCATTGCTGTTGCAACAGAGAATATGGAAAAAAAAAAAGTCATATAATATGTAATGTCCTCGCAGCAGCCAGCGTTATGCCTGATCTCATTTTCTTGAGGTGAGAGGGTGATACTGCCTATGGAATGTAATAGGGAATCCCTACCCAGTGACTGGGAAAAGTGACAAATGCTCCTTTGGGAAGTGTGAAAACCTGTATTTTCTTTTTCTGACTCTTATCAGAAGGAAAATTATTCCTTGTAATGTATATTTATTTGCAAGCTTTATATTTTTTCTTGAAAAGAATGTATTTTCTTCTGAAAATACAGCCCGATTCTAGGAAGAGGTGCTGACGTTTCTTGCTAATTGCCTGCTCTTGAACTTGCCCAGCTCCTCCAAAGCCTACTTAAAAGTTTCTGAGGCAGTTTCTGGATGAACTTAGTAGCTGTGCTGTCCAGCCCCCGGGTGATGCCTTTGTGGGGAGCAGGTGAGAGGCAGTGCCAGGCCCTGGTGCTCAGATCTCCCCTAGATGTCTCCATGGAAGCAGTGTGAAGGGGCTGCAGTGCCTGCTCCCAGCCACCGAAGCTTGGTCCATCGGCTGACTACCTAATGGTCAGCTTTGCTGGAAAGAATTTCGCTTTCTAGATGATTCGTTCTTAACTTTTTCTTTTTTTTTCTTTCTTTTTTTTTCCCCCCGTTGCTGGAAGTTGTTGTTCGATTTTGCTGCTCGTTGACAATGTGAAATATAAAGCTTTGCGACAGTCAAGTTTGTCTGCAGCTCAGCAAAATGTCTCCTTTGTGTAACAAGACACTGCTTTTTGGTGCATGGTTGATTTGTAGCATATAAGAGAGCCTCCTCTTTTGAATTCTATTTTTTTTGTTTTGTTTTTCAAAATGAAATGCATTTTCATTTTGAAAATGAGTCAACAAGACTGTTCTCCTTCCCACAGTTTGCCCAATCATCACTGCTAATTATATGAACTCATTAACGTACTATCATCCACATGGGCCTTTCAGAGTCTGAAAACAATTGTAAACATGAATCTAATACTGTTACAATGTAAAAAAAACTTAAAGAAAAGAAAAAGAAAAAAGCAAAACCTTTATGTGCAGACAAGCATGAGACACTGTCGGTAAGTGGGATGGCAAGGGGAGATGGTGGAGAGCAGCCCATTTCCACGCAGGTTCATGACGTACGTAGTGACACTGTATTTTTCTTATCACAGTGAAGTTTGTGGTGTAAATTGGCCTCGCGTTGCACAGGGTAACTGTGCTGATTCTTTGGTCACGGCTAAAAGTGCCTGTGATCATCTTACACTTTTTCGATATCTTTGAGATCTGTGACTAGGACAGGATGGTGAATAGAGCATGAGTCTTTCTGCTGGAGACAGAACTACTTGGAAATTGATGTTTTCACAGAAATAACTGTCAATGGCGGAGGCATTAGCATTAGCCAAATGCTTTTTTTCCCGCTTTGCTCAGAAAGACCCTGGTCTGTCTTCAGGAGCAACTTGAATGAGAAGTCTGTGAAACAGGCTATGAAAACAGGCTGACAGAGTTGGGGTTGTTCAGCCTGGAGAAGAGAAGGCTACGGGGAGACTTTCTAGCAGCCTTCCAGTACCTAAAGGGGCTACAAGAAAGTTGGAGAGGGGCTTTTTACAAGGGTGTGTAGTGATAGGACAAGGGGTGGTGGCTTTAAACTGAAAGAAGGGAGATTTAGATGAGATTAGCTGGCAGGAAGAGATTCTTTACTCTGAAGGTGGTGAGGCACTGGAACAGGTGGCTCAGAGGAGTTAGCGATGGTCCATCTTTGGAGATGTTCAAGGCTGGGTTTTATAAGGCTTTGAGTAATCTGGTGTAGTAGGTGTCCCTGCCCATGGCAGGGGACTTGGAACTAGATGATGACCTTTAAGGTCCCTTCCAACCCAAAGCAGCCTTTGATTCTATGATATGTCTTGGGAAATGTCAGAGAAGGGTTTGGTCAGGCTGGAGTCTACAATGAGAGCTGGTTATCTTTTATTTTCTGTTCTTATCAGAACAGAGACCTGAATGAGAGATGACAGTGGCGTAGTGCAAGTTCGTTAGCAGCCACCAAAGAGAGGTGGAAGAGCATCTCAAACAGCCAGTGGAAAGCAAGGCTGTGATTTGATTTAGCCTCTTCAGTCTTTATTGGGAGTGGAGCCTCAGGGACGTTACCCAGTTGTAAGGGGTGGTGGTGCTGTGCTGACTCAAATGGCACGGTAAACCCCGACGTTCGCTACGGCGGGGCTGTGCCAGGCTCCCTGGCTGTGCCTCTTCCCTTGCAGCAGTGGGGAGGGAGCATAAGAGCGGAGGGAAAAATAGAATTTCTCTCATGCTGGACATTTTGATATTCAGCATTTTGAAAACAATACTAACTTTACATGAAAGCTCAAATGAGAAAGGGATAATGGAAGTAAAATTTTATAGAATGTTTAAAACTGGCTGGTTGTTTTCTTTCAGCATTTTTGATTGACATAATACTGTCTTGCAATATTTTATTTCCTTATCGCTTCAGACTAACTTGAGAAGTTGTGACCATCTAAAAATGATAGCCTTTCTTTGTAGGAAAAAGGGATAATTACATGAGAATAAGACACTTTAAGACACAGTGTCAGGGAAACACCACCTTGCATGTTTTTTTAATCGAGAGTATGTATACACTGCCTTTGTAGCTAATATATTTATATCTTCATTTCGCGTATCCTGAACTTTCATCTACCAGTGACCTTGTTAGTTAATATAATAAGTTGAAGTCATCTTTATTTTCTAGAATTGGTGTAAGTCTTTTGGTTTGGACACTTGAAACCTACTTCAATTTTTGAAGTTGTAACAGAATTAGAATTTAACTGGTTTTGGCAGTTTGAGTGCAAAATATTTTTCTCCTGA